AGCTGAGGCCCGGAGCAGCACGCACGGGCGGGAGCGCAGCCAGGCAGAGCCCTCGGAGCGGCGTGTGAAGCGGGAGAAACGCGATGACGGCTATGAGGCCGGTGAGGAGGCGGGGCCTGCGCAGGGGGCGGGTCGGGCAGGGGTCCCGGAACGTGCGGGTCTGGGTGTGCGCACAGTGTCAGCAAAGCTCTCCGGACCGGGAAACCCCCAGACTGTCTATATAAACTCTTATTAAATAGTCTTTCTACGGGATCCCATGAGCCCAGGAGTTCGAGGCTGCAGTGTGCTGCGATCCCGCCAGTGCACTCCAGCCTGGGCAACAAAGCGAGGCTCTGTCTCAAAAAAGCTTTTCTACGATTGTTTGGGATTAGAGGTAGACTGTCTCCACTTGGCTCCTTGAGGACAGAGAGCTTCCGTTTTCCTCAGTTGTCTGGTACAGTCACAGATTCTCAATAAATGTGTTGAATGAATGAATGAAGTAGTGTCAGCATATGCAGAGGCAAGAAAAACCTGGTATTTGACGAATCGTATTGGACGAATCGTGTAGGGCTCATGGTAGAGAAATGAAGGAGTAAGATAGGCAGGGATGTGAACGCAAAGGACCCTGTACTGTAGGCTCTGTTAAGAAATGTAGATTGTCTTGACAAGGTAGTAGGGAGCCTTGGCTGTGAGTTGAGGAGTGAGTTGCTCAGATCCGTATTTTGTAAACATTACTGGATTGAGAACTTAGTCAAAGGTAGTCAGGATTGGAGACCAGGAAATCAGGAGGGCTACAGACCAGGTGAAGGCTGATGGTGGCCTGCACCAAGGCAGCAGCAGTGGAGTGGAGAGAAGTGGACAGGTTGGAGAGGTGTTTTGGAGGAGGAATGAACAGAACTCAGCACTTGTATGAGGGTGGGAAGGAGAAGGAATTGAGGATGACTCCTTGAATTTTGGCTTGAGCAGCCAGATAGGTAGTGAGTGTCATTTCTACTGAAATTGAGGAGTAGGGAAGAGAAGGAGATTTGGAGCGGGGTGGGGGAAGATAATTCACTTTTGGGGTTGTCAAGGTTTATGTGCATAGGGAAATCCAGAGTTTGGACTGGATAAAACCATTGGGAGTCAGTATCTGGGTGGCCAGTGAAGCCCGCGAAAGAATGCGACATGAGAAGCCGGGGTCAGGAATAGAACCTGAGAAATGCCTTTATGTTAGTAGTAGGCAGAGAAAGATGTTACCAAAAAAAGGAGGTAGAGTAACCAAAGAGGCAGGAAAACCTTTGTGTCATGGGAACTTTGGAAACAGAGTATTGTTAGAAGGAGGGAGTGATCAGCAGTCCCATATACCACAGGAGATCAAGCAAAACCAGAACTGAAAAGAACCCGTTAGATTAGAAATGAAAGAGATTGGTGACTTTGGGGAGCCTGGAGAGATTGGGATCCAGGGCCCAGGTGGAGAGTGGAGCCTTTAAGATACAGGATGGGAATGCAGGAAAGGAAGAGGGTTTTTTTTTTTTGAGACAAAGTCTTGCTCCATCTCTTTAAGAGACCTTGTCTCTTAAAAAAAAAAAATGAAAGTAAAAAGGAGAGGGCAGAATGGTGACTGTAGCAGTTTGGATCTCTTGGGTGAGGATAGGAAGGTGTGCAGAAGAGGCAGGGCTCTGAGACTGGACTCGGGCAGAGGAGCTGCTGGGGAGCTTGGGTGGAAGAAGCTGCTGTTTTCTGGTGTTTCATCAGGCCCAGGTGCTGGTGAGGGGCCCTCATCTTTGATCCTGCAGTTGGAGGCAGTGATGCTGGCTTGTTGGCCCTATGTTCAGCTCCTGAGCCATGCTTCTTCTTCTTCCAGCTGCCAGCTCCAAAACTAGCTCAGGCGATGCCTCCTCACTCAGCATTGAGGAGACCAAGTGAGTATTGTCTCCCTTGTTTCCACTTTGTT